ACGCAGGGAACTGGTTTTTCGCAACTAACCACATTTCGTGCTTGTTGCAGCGGTTCCTGCGTGTCTGTGTGCTTGAAAATATCCAGCTGAATGCCGACATGTGCAATTAACGACAAATCAAAGTGTTAATCCATTTGTTACTTGATGTTTGACGGTTCAGTGTCACTCATCATGTTTTGGTTTTAACACAACGTATGTATGTATGTGTATGTGCGTGTGTGTGTCTGTATTTATATATGTATTTTTTTATGTTTAAATTTTTCCATCATCCTGCATATTGTCATTTTGAACATTGACAAGTTCGGTATATATATCTATATATATATTTAATTAATTTTTTAATCCTGCATTATTTATCTTGTATTTTTATTTTTGAATGTTTTTATATAAGCCTTATTGAATATTAATATTTTTTTATTGGTTTTATACATTTTTTATTGCCTATTTTTGTGTCGCTTTTGTTGTTTTTACTCATGTTTATAATGATAATCTTAATTACTGTTCTTGGACTCGATTGCTTGTTACGTAGGGTACATATACTAATTAAGTGTTGCACTTTTTTGTGTAACCTTTTCATGTTACTCATAACAAATTTGCATGAATAAATGAAAAAAATGTTTTCGAACAATGAGAGTAGGAGCGATTTTATTTGGCCAATGTGGTTTAAGATATTGGATGTAAATTAAAAGAATTGAACGCAAATTGTATTTTTGTAATGTAATTTTTATAATGTATAAGTTTTTAATAAATAATTGTTCAAAGAAAATTTTACAAAAATAACTATTTAACAATTTGCGCAAAAATTAAAAAATGTGGAATTTTTTAAACAAAGTTTCTTTATCTTTTTATGGTTATCTATATAAATATGTATAAGTGATTTACCACTGGCCGACTCGACACAATTTCCATGTATAAGATTCTAAAGCTGGAATATTTCAATTTTTTACAATTTAAAAATTTTTTTATTGTAACTGGTCTTTATGGCGCTTAAACAGCAATAAAGCTTCTTAATCTTTTTATACTTTTCAGGCTGCATTCCATGGCAGAATCAGTCAGCTGACTCAATAGTTCGCAAGTTGCTAGATGATGGTGTTGGACTCTTGTCATCTTTTGATGCTGGTGCTGTTCATCCGTCTTACGGAAATACGGATGATCATAATGAACCTGAACTAGGCATTCACGTTGAACCTTTCAATAAAATTTTAAGTTTTGGGTTAAATTTCTATCCAGAGGACCGATGTTTCAGTCTTGAGCAAACAAAAGATCATCTTTCAGATTATATCAGGGTTAATTAGATTTGATTCCTAGTAGCACAAAACTGTTTATTTTAACGGTGCTTCTTAACCTCGATGATAATTACTTTTTTTAAATAAATGTTTTACATTTTATGAAATAGATCAGTGTTCCTCAACCTTTTTTATGCTATGCCCCACCAAATTCTGAAAAAAATTTTTAAATTATGAAACGTATATCATATTTTCATTGACAAAAAACCAGCATCGTTTCATTGAAAAACAATTTATTGATTTACAGATTAAGTTAAGAGGAAGAATTCAATTAAAAACTGAAATATAAATATAAATAATTGTTTAGTTTCTAGTTCTAATTTTTGTAAATCGTTAAATTTAATCATTAAATTTCAATGAGATCCCTGAGCTTGATGCTCACTGCAAAGCAATTTTATATTTGGCTCTAAATTAGTCAGTTTCAATCTCAATTTTCCTTGTTGAGTTATACCTATTCGATTTTTTTGTTTTAGCAACAAATCATTAATTGTAATAAAACTACATTTGGCCAAATACGAAGATGAAAATAGTAGCAATAAACTTTTTGCATATTCACTGGTTTTTGGATATTTGATTTTATTTCTTCACTTAGCCAAGCCATCGCTCCTTTAATATTGAATAAACTTATAACTGACTCATCATTTTGCATTTCTGCAAGTTCTTCTTCATAATGCATATTTGAAACGTCATCCAAACTAACTAAAATTAGCTCCATCATCCAAGTTGGAAATTCAATCCGTTTTAAATCACAAAATCTTTCTTTGAAGTCAGTCGTGAGAATTCTTGAATGATCAACAATAACACATATAGCAGTAGTCTATCGGTTATTTCACATTTTGTAGCCAGTAATTTTTTGTTTGAAGTAAGATTCTGACTTTACTCAAGAAAAGAGATAAAACCAAAGACCTTTGCTATTGCATCAACAAGAGTTTTATTAGCTCCCTGAAGTTGCTCGTTTAATATATTTAATTTTTCAAAAATATCAGCTAGGTAACTAACACATGCTTTACCGTCGACTTTTAACAAATGCTACGTTTTAGGTTTTTCAATTAAAAATTCACTAAGACTATCAAAAAGTTCTTTTTAAACAATTCCATTTTGAAAGCCATCTCACTTCAGTTTGAAGTAAGAACCTCGCATAATTTTTATTTTGCTCGTTACAAAATAACTTGAAATGTCGCTCTCATTTGGCATTAGCGTTAATATAATTAATACATTTTATAACTGACTTTAATAGGGAATTTAAAACAGACAACATATGCTTTGCTACCAGATTTTCCCTATGAATAACACAATGTACAATGTGTACAAAAATGTACAAGAAACATTTCTAGTTTTTCATTTTTTATTAATTTTAAGCAACCATTTTTCTTGCCCATCAATCATATTTGGAGCACCATCTGCTGCACAACTTGATATATTTTTTATTGGAAGATTTCTGGCAACTAAATAATTTTTTAGAGTGCTAAATATATCTTGGGGAGTTGTGGAACTTTCTAGTGGTTTACAAAACTAAATTTCTTCAGCATATTCTCCTGTATCAATATATCTTACATAAGCTATCAGTACCGCCCACTGTCTCTCAAAGTTGATTCATCCATTTGCAGTGAAAATTCTCTTGTCTTCAGTTTTTCCATCGTTTGTATTTCAATATTTTCACTCATTTCGTCTATTCTTCTGCTAAAGGTGTTTTCACTAAGAGATATAGCTTTCTTGTCTGTATCGTTCTTTTTCAAAACTGTTTTCAGAAATGCTGATATTGATGGTTTGCTTAAGTTTTCACCTATGGTATGATTTGTTCCAGATTTTGCAATAAGTAGGGAAATTTGAAAACTAGACTTTAGAATACGATTTTTAGTTGCAGTTTGGTAAGAAAATAAAGACATCACTGCTGTTCTCTGTTCAAAGTTTTTTTCAGAGTTTGAAAATAATTCAAATCTGAATTGCACCATGTTTAGCCTTCAAATGCGCTTCAAAACGACCTCGTTTCATGAATTCGTTATTGAGACATTGGGCACAAAAGGCAGAGGAGTAGCTGCAGCAGGTATAAAACCTAATTTAAAATATTCTTCTGAATATTGACGAACTTTTCTTTTTCCCGCACAGCTCGTTTTTTTTGTGAACTAAATATAAAGATAAGATTAATTATTAAGTAATGAAAATTGCCAATGAGGTAAACTTGATTTGCCAGGTAAAAAGTGTTAACTTGGAATGTTATTTATATTTATACTTTTGTATGGGCATATTTTATTTATATAGTTCCTGGAACTGAGCGACCAGAAGTTATAGCTAGCTAGAAGTTTTTTATATATGTACAAACAAGGATGTTGTTTGTACATATATAAAAACATATATAACCCAACTAATTGCAATCTATAATAATTTTTGCTTAAAAAACAAGTACTAATTTTATATGCCTATAAAATTGAAATAAATAAATATTAATTTCAACTAATTAAAAATTTGGAGTATAATCCAAAAAGGCCCACAGAGCAGACGATATTTTTCTAAAGCATTTTGTTTCCCTTAGTAACGTGAAATGCGTCAAGTCTATTATGCAGAATCTTGGCAATAAAGATAATCTTGCATTCAATTTTTTTAATGAACTGGAACTAAGTGCATATCTTAATTACGAAAAAAATTAATAACTTTAAATTATACAACTAATAATTGTTATTTCCCATTGAATTATTTAAAATTTGCTTTGTTGTAATTTAAATTATAGCAAACTATCTTCTTGAAATCCAATAGCTGAAATTTTGAAACTACCCCCCTAATAAATGAAATTACCCCTCCAAGAAACACTGAATTAGATCGTTAAGATTAGTGTGGTTTATGTAGATGTTTTTGTTGATCATTTTTGATTTGATTTTTTTAGAATCATTCAGGATATAGAGCACAATCAGCAAATTTTGATGAAAATGAAAAACTTCACTATCATGGTCATTTAAATCGGAGATTATTGTCAACAAAGATACGATCTAAAAACATTCTTCAACCTGATGACTCAACATTTAGCAATATTACCCCTATACATAAAATACAATTCAGCAGAGATGCAATGAACAGAAGTAACACTTTGGATTCAACTGTTGTTTCGAAGTCATCAAACAGTCCGCCAGCTCGACCCCCTAGAAGAACTCACTTCGATTTGGCACCTGCTCAAAGTTCCAAATGTAGATTCAGCGAAGGACAACCGCTCAATTTTCTACATTCTAAAGAGAAAGAACAGGAGCTTGATGGTGACAAGGAGTCTGCAAAATGTGCTGAAAATGATAAGAGTAACAGTAGAGTAAGCAATGATCTTCAAGCTACGTTCAACTTATCGGATATTGAAAGGGTATTAAATAATATCGAGGATAAAAACGGATTTAAAGAACCAGCTCAACCAAAACATATTTTAAATAGGTCAACTGCGGCTCCCTCCGATGGGAATGTTAATAAGACAGTGAAATTGGATGAGGAAACAAATAAAATGCCATTACTTTCTAGGAGTTTTAATGATCAACAGTTTGGAAAGGAAATGTGTGTGTACTTGAACAAGAAGCCCTGCAGTGATCGAAACAATGAAGCAGTCAGAAAGTACATAGGAGCAGCTGGATCATATGGAATGCTGCAAAAATGTCAGCAGTTTGTTGTGAAGAGCATTCAGGCAGTTTCCAGGTTAAACACTGCTGTTTGAACAGTTTGAAAGATTGAACAGTTTTTATGAATTGAAGTTGTTTGATGAATAAATGAAATATTTTGGTTGTAAGTTTAATAAGTTGAATAGAGTTTGTGACTGGAATGAACTGTATACATAAACTTTAAAATTTTGCGTCATAAAATCTAATCTGGTCTAAAAGTAATTATTTAACTAGTTGATTAGATAGATAGCTTCTGCATGCGAGATATAAACATGAAAAGCTAAGAACTGAACAATAAAAATTTTGAGTCAAGTGATGTTTTATAACGACCAAGATGTATTTATGTGTTACAATGAGCTGAAGACGAAATGTAGTTCTGTTTTACAATGAAGTTACACAATTTAGAATTACAAACATATTTCCTGCACCTATTGAAGTTTACAAATTGATGCTTTTTCATATCGTTTGAAGTGAATTACACATTTTGTTGGGCACGAGTCTACGTCCGCGGTAAATTTACTAAGTTCGCGGTAAAACACTGACGTGTTTTTTTTACTTAATCGATGGTGACCACCGCTGTGTAAGGCATAAATACTAGGTCTGCGGTAAACAGCTTGTATGGTGCAAAACTTTAATTTAATTCTGAGAAAAAAGGGGAACAGAATTTCTTTATACAAATTTGAAGATAAATGGTCTCATAAATTTTTTAGGTTATTTTTTTATATTTATTTATATAATATTACAAGTAAGTGATGTTCCTGCGCCCCGAGATTTACAAGTAAGCATTGTCTTCCTAGGAATGCAACGTCGTTCTGAAAAATATTGGAGTGGTTCGTTACACGTTGATTTAATTTTTCACGAGATTTCACGAGATAGACTCACGAGACCAAAATTTTGTCATAGATGTTTTTAGAGTTTTTTTAAGAGTTCGATTTATCATTACATCGATGTTTTGCACAATAGCATATATCATTTGCGTACCTTTCTCAAAACATAATTAATTTGTCACAAACAAATTTTTACCGTGTTTTTAGCAATTTTTCGACAGTCCATATTGATATTTACCGCAGATGGAGACTTTTTCAACCATCCAATCAATTTTAACAAAAGGATAAGTCTTGTTAACGTTGATTGAATGGTCATAAGAATGAAAGTCTTGTTTTAGAAGAAATGTGCAGTTTAGCAACATTCGTGTTTGACTTTTTTGTCAATTTTTATCCACTCTTATAATAAACTGCTTAAATTGTTAATCGTTATTTATTTATTTATTTAACTTCACCAACCAGCAAATCTCATCAGACAGTGGAATCGCTAAATACAGATAGAAACAAATTGAGACAAAGCTTAATTGATAAAATGAAAGAAACAAAAGCCAACAACACCGTCCCTGAAATAGATATGACCAATGTTACTCCTATCAGAAGTGAGACTGGCTCTGACGTGAAACACTTCACTGAGAGGGCGCTCTCTACAGATTTAAAAAAACAAGATGGCACTCAAGGAACTGATGATGATTTCACTTTCATCAAGCATCCTGCAAAAAGAGAGTTTTTTAAAGAAAATTTTTCTTCGTCCTCACAATTATCATTTTTTTCTCCACCAACTCTACCTTACGTTCCTAAAAAAATTTCTCCATCTCTAACAGTAGTAACAGATGGAACGAATCTTGAAAAATGGTGGCATCATTCAGGAACTGTCGATACAAAAAGTTCTCAGTTGTCCGCTGTTATCCCAAGGCCATTCAATCCGTTAGTTTTTATTTTGTTATACACTTGCTGTTGTCATTATAACTGCTTGATCTTTGAATTAATTGTTTGTTTCTTACGAGATAATATATTTGTGAATAGTAGAGAAACAAAGATCTGTAGTTAGAAACGTGTAATTATGATTTTACTATTTTTATATTTAAACCTGTTGTTTTGTTAGTGAACTTTTGAACAACTTTTATTATTTTCTTTATTGTTATAATCATTAATCATACAGATTTTCCACTGGCTGAAATTATCTGCATTAAGATAACAATTATTATTATGTTATTATTATGTTATTCACTCTATTGACATTCCTCAGAGGATAGTACTGTGATTAAATGCTTTGTTGAAAAAATAACTTTTTAACTCTCTTCTAAAATCTTTTTCTGGAACAATTTGCTTCAATCTTGTTGGAAGATCATTCCATACTTTGGGTATAGCAACCTGCACACATCTGTCACCCAGTTTTGTCCTGGTCCTAGGAATTACCATCATTTCTGACGAAACCGAACGCAATGCCTGTCGCATCACATCAGCTTCAGTTCTTTTGCGAAAAACCTCCTTTAGATATTCTGGGCCACCACCATTTACGCAACCATGAGCCACCACGGCCATCTTAAATCCTATCCGTTCCCTGATCGGCAGCCAGTGGAGACTTTCCAATCACTTTGTAATGTGATTACGTCTATTGTAGACTAATAAATAACTATAATAGAATAATTTTGTTTTGATTTTATTGTTTACGGCATCTGTGTAAATTATTCTTATCACCTTCATGTCTAGTTAAATTTTTTTCTCTAACGTTTCTCTAACGTTGTTCAAAAATAATTAGTAATTTATCTAAAGTGACCAATTTTGTTTGTCCTGCTTGCATCAATCCACAACAACAAATTTGAAATAGCAATGTTTTTGAAGCGATTAAGATAGAGAAAGTCACATCGTTTCAATATCTAGGGGATGTTCTGAATCGTTCTGAATTGTGCAGTCTGGAATAAATGGCATCTCCTTGCCTCTATATTGATGCGGCGTGACATCCCACTACCACAACGATCAAGACGTTATAAGTCTGTGATACGTCCGGGGTTATTAAATGGCGCAGAAACATGGCCAATGACAACCAAACTGGAACAACAACTTTACCGAACCGATATGACAATGCTCCGATGGATACAACGAAGTAGTTTGAAGGACCACATCATATCTATTGAAATCCTACGTCGTGCTGGTTTAGATGATATAAAGGACGAATGCCGGCAACACCGTCTGAGGTGGTTTGGTCATGTCAAACGATGTGGAAACAGTGCCATAACTTCTCTTGCAGATGTTGAAGTACCTGGCACACGTCCCAAAGGCCGTCCAAAGAAGTCCTGGTCGCAAACAATCGAGCAAGACATGAAAGCTCTAAATTTAAACGAAATGGATACAACTGATCGCCTAATTTGGCGCAAAAAATTGATGGCAAAGAAAACAACTTCCTACCTCGGGAGAACTGGTTCTCTGGACGCTAAACGATGATTGATTGATTTATCATTAGTGGGATTCTTTCTTACATTACTAACAGTTATCAACAGCGACACACACGCACGACATATATGAATATGAACATTATGCATCAACCTGGCATCGTCAAAATATTTATAATCAAATCAAACAATCCTGTCTTTCAACTTTAACTGGACAAGTTCGAGGATAATTGGCTTTAGTGCATAAAAGTTAATGCATTGTAAAGATGAAATGACATGTTGCAAACAGTTCAAGTTATTGAGAAATAAAATTCTTTCTTGTTCATTAAGAACTTTTATACGTTTGATAACTGTTGTCCTAGTCACCAGCAAATAGAAACTTATAAAATTTGTTATTTTTGTTAATACTACATCTATGTGGTCATACTTTAATAACAGAATGAACGTTAATTTTATTAATTTTTGTAGAAAGTTAAATATTTTTTTGAGATCAGTTTCACAACTTGTATGTTTTCATACTGGTTGTTTTTATCGCTACTGAAGTTAACATGGATCATAATTATGTCTATGATTTTTTATTATAAATCATTAAAACATTTTAATACAGTGAATTTGGAAATTAATTTAGTTTCCTAATTGTCAAAGCCTATTGTAACAGACATCAATTGAAAAGCCGTTACATGTTTTGTTTCAATTATTGATTTACATTGGCTTATAAGTCTTACATAAATTTTAACAGCTTGATGTTTGTTCTTTCTTTATTTTTACTAACAGACGGAAGACTAAAATCTCGAGCCACAATGCAGCGTCATCAACAGCCAGAGACTTGAAGAAAGAAACTGAAGAGTTTTTAGCATGTACTTCTGATAAAAAAATTACTTTAGAATCAAATATTTCAAGAAAAAAGCTCAATGATTGCAATCTGTCGTCAGTTGGTCAACAAACAGATGACGTTTCAGCAGGAATGGTTTCCACCTCAACTTTTGAAAGCTGTAAACCCAAACGATCATTGACTTCAACTGAATTGGCTTATATCGTGAATCAGGCCAGTGACATTGCCAAAAGCAATGATACAACTTATCTCAAACTGCCTACTTATTCTAGTTCATATGTACAAACTGAGACCAGTACCAAATCTCCGAGTACTGTTGAGTCGTCTCTTTTTCAGGTAAAACCAAAAATAGTTGAATTATCAAAAATCGACATTGTTCATGAAAAACCTGAAACGCTCACTTTCGATGATTGGAAAAATGTAATTAAATTCGAAGAAATTGCATCAACTGCAAGCTCAAATACTAAAGAACTGATGAGTGAAAAAGTATTAAATGATTCTGAACTTTATTGGACCAAAGTTAGGAATGAAGATTTATATTTGCGAGTGGTTGAAGATTTAGATGTCGTCAACAGGAGAAAGATGATTGATCATCAGATGGACTCATTTCTTCATGGGCAAAAAGTGAATTCATCTATGAAACCAATTCAGAAAGATAAGATGATAATTGATAAAGACTCAAATGAAAAATATAAATTATATTCTTCTATGAGTTATTTTGAAGATAGAACTCTGACCACAAGCTCCACGCCTCATGATGCGTCACTAGCTTTTCAATCTCCTCAAAAATTAAAGTCAACAAGTGCGGCCAATACCACAAATGCAACTTCTGAACAACTTGATGACATTATCTCCAGTGAAACATCATGCGTTGTCGACAATAGAAAGTGCTTTTCCACAAATATTGACGACATTTCAACTGATTTTACAAAATTGTCTCCTGAAGGTATGTCAAAGTTTAAATTCAGAATTGGAGAACCTTGCTCAAGCAACAATCAGCGTATTACTAGTGAAAATACTGAACAACAATGTGAAAATAGTGTTAAAGCATCAACAACTGCTTTATTGACTTCAGTAAAGAAAGATATGGATAAGAAAAGGATATATGATGCATCCATTAAAGAATTGCAAATGAAACTGAACGGCAAACATTTCAAGGGCTTATTTGAGGTTGTTGATAATTGTGATAATGAGAGTGATAGTGATGAGATGATGAACGAATGATAATGCTAAAAATCATTTTTGAATAAACGTTAGCTATGAGATTTTGATGTAAGCAATGAAATATTTGTTATGAAATATTTTGTTGGTAGTAATAAAGTAATTTGTTTATAAGTTTTATTGTGTCGCTATGTTGCAGGAACATGTTCACTTGATTATGTAATATTAATAATCCTGTTGAATAATGTTACTGCAGAAACATCGCTATGTTGCAGGAACATGTTCACTTGATTATGTAATATTAATAATCCTGTTGAATAATGTTACTGCAGAAACATCAGACTACACCTAGACGTTCACAAGAACATCAATCCACCAAGTTTCCAGAAAATTCCACAACAATAATTCAATCGCAAAGGTCAGCTGTTCAACCCCTAACCCCATCAATTACCTCTACTACATTGGATCAGGATAGGTTGAAGAAACTTGATGAAGTTGTATTGATTGGTCGACGACGGAAAAAACCAGGTGCCATGTCAGTCCTGAGTGCTAACATTAATCCTTTTCCTAAACGGTCTACAACTCGAGCCTCTGTGTTCAGCAAATATAGACTCAGTTGTTCACCAGCAGATGATTGTCAAAAAAAGAGTGCCACTTTAAGTTACGGCAGCTCATCAAGAAGATCACTGCACATCTTGCAAGAGAGCGCCAATAAGATTAGAGTGAAGCCGGCTAGTCATTCTGTTGAGGCCAACACCATCAGGTTTGGAGTCAAAAATGAATATTATATGCAATTGATGTTAGCGTGATGTTTTGGGTTGTGCATTGGTAATTGTGTAAAATGTCAGTCAGTTTTTTTAGAACACTGATAATGGTAAAATGGCAGATTGTGGGGTGGGTTGTTGGAGCACTCCGATTTGAGTTAAATGAATTTCTGAAATGCCATGTGAAATAATATTCAGCATAAAAAGTTTGTTATGTGTTTGTTCATTAATAAAGTTTAGGATATGCTCTTGAACTTTTAAAACTAAAAAAGGCTGTGTGCTAAATTAATTAATACATTTAATTATTACAAGACGCTGACGATACAATAATATGTTTAGTAATGTGCTTAATTTTACATTGTCAATTTAATACAAGACAAAAATATTAAAATCAGAAGTAAAAAATTATTTTTCCACTCGCTGTTTGCTGCTCCTTTAAATTAT